TGGAGGGGAGAGGAGATGGAGCTGATGCAGTTATCGCTTATAACGGTCTGCTTGGCCTTTAGACGTACAGTTTTTCTAAGAAATTGTCTTAAAAATAAATATGGCACATAGGAATTTGGTTTTTTACCTCTTCCTAATTGCCTGGGAGCCTTAGCAGATGGGGTCTGAAACCCAGGCCCTGCTTCGGTTGCTCCGATGGCTCTCTTGAATTGATCAGCCACTTGGGGAAGTTCAACCGCAGCCACCCTGCTCTCATGTCGGAGTGGGAGAAGGCTCACTTGTTTGATGAGAGTGCTAAGCCACTGGATTTTGATTTGGGAATGGATGGGGCAGGCTGCCACAGGATTATACCCAGGCTGTGCAATTCTCTGAAGTTCTGCAGCTGCAGAATTAGCTTTGGGAACCTCTGTGCACCATGGAAACAGTCTATAAAAAGAAAAGTATGTTTTACTTGCTCCCCACAATCTGCACTGGAAGCCAGCGCTGGATTTTTTTTCCAGCACACTGAAACCTGAATCTGATCTCATGCATTACTGCCAGTTGCAAGAAGTGAAAGAGTTTGCATTGTGCAATGGTGGAGAACATTGCTGATGGCTTGAGCCGTGAAGTTGTGCCCAATGGGGGCTTTTATCTGGTGGCACCCTCAAGGCACATTGGTTAGAGCACCCATTGCCAGGGTGTAAAATACCAGATGTGGGTTTGCTGTCAGGAGCCGGAGAGATACCGAGCTCCTCCATCGCTTCGGCAGTGAAACCTTCTTGCTGGAGGACAAAATGGCATCTGGCAGGAAGCACTTCTGTGTTTTGGAGCTTTTTTCCCTTGCACACATTGGACGCTTGAGTGGGTTCAAGGTTTTGTTTGCAGTAGGTTATGTTAGAGCTTTTAAAAAGTGAAAGGCTGCGATGTGTCAGGTTTTGCGCTCGGCCTGGGTCGGGTGGTAGAACTATGGACAGACCTGGGGTGCGGCTGGGCTGGGCTGGGCTGGGCTAGGATAAGCGGGGCTGGGCTGGGCTAAGGAGATGGACTGGATGGATGCGCTGGTTCGTGGCATCTGATGGCTGATTCGGGACCACTTTTGGATGCACAGCATGGCAAGCTGGCATATTGCAACCGCCTTGGGCTTGTGCAGTGCTTGCTGGGTCTCGGCGCAGCTCCTAGCAGAGAGGTGTTGAGATTGCAGACCCCACCGTTGTCCGTACCATTGACTACCAACCTGTTCTTTGCCGGGGTTAAGGACTCAGTGGGCCGCAAAGGCTAACTGTGCTTTTCAGCATTGGAGGCAGTTCTTCCAGGTGAAGTTTGATGTATGCAAAAGGACGGTCTGGGAGGTTTGCCTAGTTACCATTCATGTGTTTTCTACCAACTCCGCTTGGCTCCAAGGCTCTGTTCAGGAGAAGCGTGTTATGAAGCTTCATTAAACCCCTGTTTCTACAGGTAGAAAACGGGACTTGCAGTTTGATCTTATTTCCAAAACAAAAACCGCCCCTGAAGCTGGCAGGCTGTAGTGCTGAATCTTAAGTTTTGAAGCTGCACGCTTGGGGATGCTTGTTTTGAGAACTTTGGTTGGTAATTCAGAGATTTGAGAAGTCCATACCCTGAATTTTGGCTTAGCAGTTTGCAGTGGAGCTACCCCTAGATAGAGAGATGTAATGTGCTGCTAACGCGAACGCTCTTGAAGCTCGCTAAGATCGGAATAGGAACATATGTCATACGGGAGCGAAAAAGGGACCAGCTGAGGCAACCGGCAGTTGTTGGTTTAGATCATAAATCAAACGGCTTGATGTGATTCCCTGCCTCTAAAGTTTTTCTTTTCCTGCGCTCTCATTGGTATGTTGCAGTGCAGCTTTCGAAGCTTTTTGAGCTGCAGCAGCCAAGGGAAAAACCTATTTGGAAGAAGTAAAATTTGCCGTTCAGTGTGATTTAACTGATTCCTGAGAGCAAACCAGCAAAAGATCAGTCTTATTTCTCAGACTTCTGCAGCATTAAAGCTTTCCATCAGATCTGGAGGTAATGACGGTCTGGAGGGGATACAGGTGGTTGGACCTGGTGGAGAAAATCCAGCGAGACTTGGGTGCCGTCCATTCTGAGATATGGGACACTCTCTGGCTTCCCCTGGGGAGCCAAGTGCCACGCTCCCAACGCAGCTGTGGCTGTACCTGGGCTGCTCACGCTGAAGTCCATGTGAAGGAAATGTCTGTAATAATATCAACGCCGGGCTTCAGTTCCCTCCACCAAGCATTCCCCTGCTATTTTTTTCCTTCTTCATACTTTGCGCTGGGAACACAACAGTCGCGTCCTTTTTTCCTGGAGGATCCTGGCAGTCTTTGTAGAGCATGGGCTGTGAAACAGGGGCTGCTGCTCTCCCTCTGCCTGGGGAGGGAGCTTGGGGGCGAGGGAGTTGCACCTGTAGGGCTTCCAGGTGTTTGCCAACTGCAAAAGTCCTCTAAAGATGATAGAAATGATCTTGACTTTGCTACAAATGCAAAGCGAGAAGAAGATACAACCTGCTTTGAAAGCTTGTTTGCACTACACAAATATACACGGCATGGTTTTTATATATCAGCATTTACAGGACGATACTGGTTCCTCTCCAGCTCGGCTTTGCTGCCATGCCGCCTCACTGCTCTGCGCTCCCCAGCGTTTGATGGTGATAATAGAAATAAATTAAGCAATGGACTTGTGTTCGACTTGGCTTTTGCCAAAAGCAATTATTTGTGTGCAGCAGCAGCACCAGGAGGAGCTTGCTTGACTTGGGGTAACAATGAATGAATTTATGCCAAAGTGGCCTTTTAACTTCATTATTCAGGAAAAAAACGCGTGCGCGTAACTGTAATTTATTAGTGCTGTTAAGCACGTCAGTATTAGGGCGGCAGTGTCTCCACAAGGAAGCACAGTCAGGAGAACCTTGGAGAAAGCACTTTATCTCTGCTTAGGACAAAAAGCAGTCAGGAGAGGAGCTCTTTACATGGTTGCTCACCAAATGAAGAGTTCCAGCAGAATATATTCCAATATATTTCTTGGCGTCAGTACATTTATTCTGGCGTGATGGAAAACACCAGTGACCCGTGCTGCTTCAGTTGGGTTCCCTAGAACATGCAGGAGCTTCTGGGGTGTGAGTCTTCCCTCATTCCCATTTCATACCAACTCTCACGTGTGTGAGAAAAATCAGGCCCCTTGCCCTTTCCCCAGAGTGCCGAATTAGCCGCAGTTCAGGGTATCTACTGAGGCATTAAAGCGTCTGAACTTCTGACCTTCCCAATCTAGCAGCAAAAAGGAATGAACAGAAGATGTCTGATATTTATCTGTAACGATCCTTCCACCTCATTTTCGAACGATAAATAGTAGCATTTTTACATGCTTGGTTATTCAAGCTTATTGCAGTCGTTGTCCAGAGAAACTTCCCTGTCTTATTCAAAGTCAGCCTTGGGTGCATTTTTCAAGCCACGCCGTTGGGCATGATTGCCACTGGTGGCTGCTGGAATATGAAGATTGTAAAAGAAGAAATCCATGAACTGCCAGATTCGCTCTCTGCTCTGGAGGTGTTGCTGCTACCTTGGCCGACGCAGTCCGGGGCCGAGTAACCAGGTTTAAACGATACAGAAACATTTTGAAAGGGTGCTTCGATGACTGCTGACAGAGGGTCACGCAATCAGTGATGGCAGGAGCTGCTCTTGGGTGGGAAATAACACAAGCGCTTTCCTTGCTGCTATGGCTTTGCTGCACTGACGCGTAAGCGTTTGAGAGCGCCTTGTCCTGCGCCGTCACACGCTCCATCATCCAGTAATTTCCCTGTAAACCTGGAGCGTGTGACGGTGTGTGGATGTGAAGCAGTTTTCAAAACACGGTTTCAAGCCATGTTTTAACCCAAACAGCAGGGTAATCCTGCAAGCGGGGACGCAGGGGTTGAGACCCCGTGGATGCACAGGGAGCTGCCTCCTTCCAGTGCTGGTGAGGCTGGAGCCTCTTCTGCGGGATTTGGGAGCTCACGGAGCCTTGTGACCAGAGGCTGGTTTGCAGTGTTAAGTCCTCCTTCCACTCTGCCTCCTCCCTGGTCCACACGTTATTGTGTTTGCTCACTTCAGTGTCTCAGAAGGCTCTGATGTTACCAGCAGAGCTAAGACGCATCTTCCCCTGGCAGCTCTCTTCCTTCTGCTGCGGATCCATCTCCGTGCTAATCCTGAGGGTGCAGAACTGGCATGGGGGAGGCAGCAGAGGCAGGGAGGGGAGCGAGTGGCTGCAGAAGAGGGCACGCAAGATTTTCATTTGCAGTCTTTAAGTTGACCAGTGAGCATTGTGGACATCTCATTTCACACAGTCCAGAGACCAGAACCAAATCTGGCAGAGCTGGCAGCTGCCGTGCAAGATCTGGGACCTGGATTTATCCCGAAGCAACGCTGTGTGTGTTCATAGATGTGCAGAGAAGGCAGAAGCACGCAGTCGGTATTTGGAAGGAAGTGGGATGATGTGTTTGCATCACATGAGGATGATAAGGCACTTCCCAGTCCATTAAAGAGGGCATTCAAACATCTTGAGGAATAAATACCTCTAAATAAACTTCATGAGATGACTCTCATTCAAGAGGCCTTTCCCTGGCGTGGGAAGATCTTTGTTCCCTGATGTTTACTTTTAAGACATTTTTGAGCACTGGACAAGTTTCCTAAGTGCACCCTTACACACAGAAGGAAAGGGAATACTGGCCGTACGCGCAGTGAGGCACCCTGACCATCG